GGGGGGGGGGGGGGGGGGGGGGGGGGGGGGGGGGGGGGGGGGGAGTCCAACAGACCGAGGTTAGGTTGATGATTATGTCAGAGGGTGGAAGTCTCGTTCTCGACATTTTCTGGTCGCTACGCGGTACCAGTACAACGTTAAAGTTCCGCCTTCTTCATTGGGTACGACAGGATACAATGATACAATGATACAATGGGTTTCGTTGTTGTCCAAGGGGCGGGGAGAAAGGGGGGAGGGCACCCCGCTGCGACTCACGCATGCTGCCGTTGACCTAGGTGCCGCGTGTAGACCGAAAAGTGGTTTAACAAATGGAACATTGTACTTGTATTCCTGTGGTGCTTGGACGTGCGTATGGGCTCCCTGTTGACTATTCGAGTGCGTTAAAATATGGTCGTGTACGCTCAGCACGCTCAACAGTGGACACCCCAGCTGCCTCAGGAAACACACGACACCCGACCGCTTTTCGAACAACATAACCAGCACGAACAACAACGATGACATTATCCCGCCAAGACACGACAACAAGATACGAGGACATACAACAAGCATCTCAGAGCGCGTCGGAGCCGCCGCCGGCGGCGGCGGCGGCCACAACAAAGGCAACCATGTCGCACCTGCACGCGCTCGATGGGGCCGGGCGCCTCGCTTCCTTCCGGCTGGTCGAGCAGAGGGTTCGAGTACGCCTCCAGGTAAGTGTGGAAACCCTCCATCCACGGGGCCATGTCGTTCTCAAACACCTCCGGCAAGTCCTGCAAAAAAAAAAAGGGAGACAACATCATGAAATAAGGGACACAAGAACAAAGAGTGACGACAGCAGTAAGGCTAACTCTCTCCATTAACAAAAAAACAAACGTTTAGTAGTACACCCACGCGGGATTGCAGACGCTACCGCCGTGCAAGAATCTCAAAGCCCATGTCCCCACGAACTCTTGTAGTCCAGAGACAATTTTCGCAGGAAAGATCTGGAAAGCCGTTGGGGTTGGAAAGGATAGCTGCTGCACTGCTGTGGTGTAATGGGAGTCACAGGGTACACGGGGGGGGTGGGTGGACGCCCTTCCCCCGACAACGGAGTTGGGCCGCCTTAAAGCTGTTCCTACATGTGCTCCGCTCCTACGCGAATAAAGTTGAGGAGTAGCTGGAGTGATAGGTCGGGCGGTGGCGACATGCGTCAAGAAGCATGTGTCTCTAAAATCAGGCTAGACCATGGTGATAAATACTCAAGGGTTGGCAAAGTTCAAGCACAGCAGTGCCGGGAATACTTATGTGGAACAGGAGGCCGCCTACGCGCTACACATGCAAGCGCATAGCGTTCCGCACTGGTCCAACAGAGGGGTGGCTTCGAGAAGAGAACGACCAAGAAAGCGGCAAAAATAGTGCCGGAAAAAACAAATGTCAAAATATAAACTTTGGTGCTAGATTGTACTACTTCACCTCAACCCAGAAGTACTTGTGTTCTATCATTCCAGCTCTCTGGGTTTGTGCATCCCTTTCTTGAAACGGCAAGGTACCAGGCCCGGATTTCGACGTATCCGCACATACGGCACAAATACGGCCAACACATATAACCCACCTCCTAGACGACATCGTCGACCAAAAGTACGTCCAAAAGGCACGGCTGCATATGTGACACCACCACCAAACGCGTCCGTGCTACAATACCTGCCAGTTGAGGCTGAAGAAAATGCGCATGATGAGGCGAACGGCCTCCAGCACCTGCACCAGGACCTCCTTGTTGCTCTTGTACTGCTCAACGGCAACGAACGTCTGCTTGAACAGCACCAGGAGGGGCTCCTGAAAGAACGGGGAGCGGGGCACCGTGGGGAACGTGGGGGTGGGGGGCTGGTATGAGCGTGTGTAAGACCGCTGGGTCAGCAACAGAAGCCGCTCTCACAGATCTACATGGAGCAGTCACGCACGGGCTACATACTCCATGACCAAACATCGTGGTCG